GTATAGTTTAAATTTATATATATATAAATATAGTCCATGTAAAATTGATTATTATAATTGAAATTCAATTTGTGTAAAATTTTATATGTAAAATGGAAAAGGCATGGTTATGTGATTTTTTTAGGAAGAAAAAATAAAACCTTAGAATGTGTATATATATGAAAAATAAATATTTCTCAAATAGAATCCATATAAAATTGATTATTATAATTAAAATTGAGTTTCTATCGAACTTTATATGTAGATAAAAAATGCATGATGATGCAATTCTCTTAGAAAAAAAATAAAGCCTTATAATGTCACCTAAACATAGAAAAAATACTACATTCAATAATATATATATATATATATATATATATGATACTTTTGTACTTAATTTCAATATAATAAAATAAATATTCATTTTAATATTAAAAATAATGATTAAATTGGAGAAAAAGTCATTTAAAATTAAAGAATAGTTCTAATTATTTATTTTGATAATTTTAATCTTATCGTTCTATAAAAGTGTTATTTAAACAAATATATAAAATAATTTTATTTCAATTGCTTATGTGTATTTTAATAATCTTAGTCCTATCGTGCTATAAATTTGTAACTAAAATAAATATATAATAATTTAGATGATATTAAATTATAACATAGTAAAAATAAACATTCAATTTGACATTAATAATAATAGTTAAATTGAAAAAAAAATATAGTAACATACAATTAAAAATGATTTTAATTAATTATTTATTTATTATTTTATTCAGTTAGAAATAAATAAAAAATTAAAAGTAGGAATGAAAATAATAAGAAAATTTATTTTAAAAAATTAAATATAAATATGTTGCGGTTAGATTAATTATGTTGAGTATTGATTTTTCTTTAATACCTATTTTAAAACTATTTATTAAGAAATTATAGTTTAAATTTATATATATATAAATATAGTCCATGTAAAATTGATTATTATAATTGAAATTCAATTTGTGTAAAATTTTATATGTAAAATGGAAAAGGCATGGTTATGTGACTTTTTTAGGAAGAAAAAATAAAACCTTAGAATGTGTATATATATGAAAAATAAATATTTCTCAAATAGAATCCATATAAAATTGATTATTATAATTAAAATTGAGTTTCTATCGAACTTTATATGTAGATAAAAAATGCATGATGATGCAATTCTCTTAGAAAAAAAATAAAGCCTTATAATGTCACCTAAACATAGAAAAAATACTACATTCAATAATACATATATGATATCATTCCACAAACGCAACTGGTTGGCGAATTTGTCACTAAAGACCCAAAAAAGAAAACTGTTTTGAAGTCTTATTTTATTTATTTATTTTTTTTTTTGAGAACGATCAAAACAGAACCATAACATTAGTAAACTGAAAAGAAAGAGTCTACAGAATTAGCTAGCTGATGTGCATGTTCAAATAATTGCCTGGCTACCTTAATTATACATAGAAATTCAAAACATATACTCAAAGACCACACATCTTGGATAATTAGATCCATTTCCCAATCCAGCTTGCGAGATTGCTATTTACAAGAACCTTGCAATCAGTAAAGAAAGTGATTGCCAAAGGAGATCTAAACATATTTAAAAACATTAAAACCTCGCATTTGGTGTGTCTCAAATGGGCCTTTATGCTGCACAATTTAAAACAATTTAGTCGATTGTATTTGACCTCACTTGACATCAATAGAAAAAGATTTGGAATAGCATTGATAGAGTAAGGTTAAGTATCAAGATAGGTAGAACAAAACTGCCAGCATTAGGGTAACATATTAAGTTGTATCACAAAATAGTTCAAATTAAAATCAAGCGCAAAACTTGGAAAAGCCAGACCGTTGCCATCCCTTTTAAGAAGATAACACATAAAACTCCCAACCATCACGATGGTTGCTGCTATTTTTTTGGGTCATGCTGTACTATTTTGCTGCTGATGCACAATGCTTCCAAGCCAAAACTATAGAGAGTGAAGTGATAGACAAACTACTAGCCCAAAATAAGATAAACATCAAACACTACTTCGTTGGTTTAATGGATTTGCACATAACAAAACTAACCCCAAAACCCTACCAACTCTTGCATCTTAAAGAGTTCCAGTAAATAAATTGTATGGAAGACAAATCCATCTAAAGCTGCTTCTCATCTAAACATTTATAAAGTCAGCCCCTGCAGAACAAAGTGCAGCAAGAGCAAAATATGGATGGCTATGCAAACCATTCAGTGATGCCCAAAGATCTTTTAATTTTGTTTCACATGCATGCAAGAACAAAAGGAGCAGAAAATACTGATTAATCTGCGAATAGTCAACCTAAAAAAAGTGGATTCACTGGAAATTGGAGCCTCAATTCCATCATAAAAAACGAACAGAAAGAAAACCAAATCATGCCCCCCAAGGTTTTGTGCACATATGCATGTAGCTAAGAGTAGACACAGTTTAGTACAGGCCATAATATCAAGTTTTCAGGTTTTAGAGCACATTCTGGAAGTGAAAATGAGAACAAGGTCTCAATCAACATAATAACATCAGAATGCAAAAAACTACCATATCATGTAGAAAGCAAGACATCAAGACAACTAGTGTTTTTAAGTATCACATACATTTCAATAACATCAGATTGGAGACTTTGAGCAGTTGGTCATTCAGTTGATGCACATTCTGATGGATTAGAAACCTTGCGTTTTGCAGACAATTCCTTCAGCAGTTTCACTTCGTTCTCAAAATCCATCAACTGCTTATCCAGTCTTTGAACCTTATTCAAAGATTCCTCCAATTTACTGACAAACTCTTCTTCGAACTCCTTTATCTTCTGTTCAATTATTATACGAGTCAGCCTATCTTCTTCTTCCTGCTTCAAGCGTTGTTTCTCCAATTCCATGGTGCTCAGTACGACGCCCCCAGGACCAGCATCTTTGTAAAGTGGTTCTTCAGGAAGCTGACACTGCTGTCTATACTCAGAGAATGTTTTATGGGTTTCCTTCAAAGCCTTCCTGTAACCCTCTAATAAATTACCCATGACATAGAGTTCGCGTTCAAGCCGATATATCTCCCCATCTTTTCTATGTAGCTCTTCTTGCTTGGTCTTGTGCAAGTGTTCAATCACATGTTCCCGGCGCTGCAGTTCACTAAGTAAGAACTGATGGTTCATATTTGATTCATCACAAGCCTGTTCTTTTGCCTGATACATTATCCTAGCTTTTCCCATCCAGTGCTGCATTTGATCCATGCACATCTCAAAGTCAGATGATTTAGGACTCCACTGGCCATCAGTCCTCAACCTCTTATTGTTGATGTTGTCATTGAGAGTCTCATGTGAGATATCATGCTCATGACCAATCTCTCTCTTGCTACCATTACCAAAAATCGACAGACCACCTGAAGTTGAACGCGGTTCAGTCCTCGATGCAAGAAGCTCCATATTAGATTGATCATGAAGTTGCTCTGGCAAACCAAATGGTATTTGGGTTGTCTCCATTCCTTGAAGTAGGTTGCCAGTTAACACATTACCCTCTAGAGTGCTTCCTTTGGACATAAGATTAAATCCTTCATCCTCCATTTCTTCCTCCTCTTCATTGTCCTCCTCATCCTCCTCCACCACCTCCTCTTCTGGCTGCCTCTCCTCATCACCATTCATATCCGTATCAGCTTCTATATTACAGCGCTGCAAAAAATGGTCACCAACGCTGTTTTTTCCATCCAAAAGCCACTGACCTTGTTCCTCCTCTTTGCTTTCCTCTACATCCATCATGTCCCCCTCCAAAACCTCTTCTTTCTCAACAATATCTTGCCCCAAAGTCAATTCCACATTAGGTTCCTCCACCATAGCATTATTGTCTTGTGACTCATCATGTCCTTGAAACTCATCAGAGGCACCCATCTTCACCTCACCACCATCATCCTCATCCTCCTTCACTTCCTCCACCTCCACCTCCACCTCCGCCCCTGCCTCCGCTTCCACCTCCACCTCCACCCCTGCCTCCACCTCCACCTTGGGTTCTATACAAAACACCTCCTCCCTTTGCGACTTCATCAAATACTGCAAATGCGAGGCGTAATAACAATCCTCCAATTGCTGCCCTTGATTCAACTCCTTCTCGACCATGAACCAAATCAACCCAGCCCAATCCACCTTCTCGGGATGCCCATCCTTGATTGCCCTCGTCCAATTCAAAACCTCGCTAGGCATCATCCACATATCCTCGTGCAAAAGCACCCAATTCGACAAGAAATCCTCTATAAATGCAACAGATTCGTCTGACAAAACCTCAGAATCCAAATCAACAGCCTCCGACGATGATGATAATAATGCCGACGCATTACCCTTATCCTTCTTCACCGGTAACTTGAAAGCTCTGGCCAAATCAGCCCGATTCACCATAATCCTAAACTCATTCACGTAACTGCATCGTAACCGTGAATCGTAGGTTGCGATCAATTGGGAAATGAGATCGACGCGAATGTTGCGATCGAACTCTATGTGGACAAAGTCCCACAACCCGAGACGCTTTAGGAGCTTCTCGTGCTTGTCGAAATCTAGGGTTTTGGAGGGGACGAAGGGGATGGGTTTGAGATTTGAAGTTAGGGTTTGGAGTTTCTTCTCGATGGCTTGTTGCTTCTTCTTGTAACCCTTCTTTCTCTTGTTGGGTCGGCGAGGTGGGTTGTTGGTAGTAGGTGAGGTGAGAGGAGGTGGGTTCAGATCGTGGAGGTCTGTGACTAGTGGGATCAGAGGAGGAGGAGGAGAGAGAGACGACATACCTGATTGTTCTGCGTGCTGGTCGTCTGGTTCTTGATGATGGTGCTGATCTCCTTTCTGATCAACAACTTGTAGGTCTTCTTCTTCCTGTTGTTGTTGATTTTGGGTTTGATCGGTCTCTGACTGTTCTGGGTTTTGGGGTTGGTCTGAGGTTTCTAGGGTTTGGGTTTGAGGAGATTGAGGTTGAGATCGATTTTGATTTTCGTCATCTTGGGTTGAGTTAGGGTTTTGGGTCTGTAACTCTGGTTCTTCTTGAGGTTGAGAGGAGGAGGGACTGGTCATGGCGATTTGCCGATCGGTCTTCTCTTCTCTGGCAGTGTGCCCTTCTTTAACCAAGTGGACCTTTTATTTAGGGACAATTACTCATTCCTGCATCCCCAAATTTTATTTGATTTTATCTTATCCTTTCCTTAACAAATTACAAATACACAACTTGCTTAAAGTACATAATAAAATAAAATATTATATTTAATTTATAATTATTATATTTTTTTTATAAAAAATCAAAAAAATTAAAAAAATTATCACAAATGAGACTTTTTAGCTCCAAGTTAAAATAGTCAAAAAGTCAACTTATATATCAAACGAAGGCTAAGCATGTCTTATTTATATTTAGAGTTATTTTAGAAAGTTAGTTAAAAGTCATATTTTTTATTTTTTTTAAAAAATTAGAGTGATAATATAACTTAAAATAGGTCAAATTATTAAAAATTATTAATTAACTTAATAATTTATTAATAAAATGAGCGATTTGTTATGAAATTAAGAATCTCAGGAAGTGAAATGTAATTTTCAGAACCACAGGAGTGATTTGTATTTTAATCAAATCTCAAGAGGTGTATTTGTAATTTATCCTAAATTAATAAAAAAATAATAAATTATAAATATACTTCTTCAGATTTGCTTAAAATACGAATAATTATCTTTAATTTTAAAAATTACATTGTACTCGTTGGGATTTCTAATTTCATAATAAATGTCATTTTTATTAATAAATCATCAACTTAATTAAAAGTTTTTAATGATTTCATAAATATATTTCAATTAACAATTTATGTAATTTTATTATTGTACAAGAGGGATGTAATGAATTTCATTTTTTTCAATTAATTCTGTTAAATAAAATTTTTTGACAATGAAATATTTGTAATTTCCAAATCACGAGAAGCAATTCGTATTTTAATTAAATTCCAAAAAATGTATTTGTAATTTACCTATAAAAAACACTCAAAAAATACTTTAAAAGAAAAAGGGTAAATAATTTTCTAGTAGCTGTTCAGATCGTCCAATAAACGCCATTAATCATTTTGAACAAAAATAGCCCCTACAACAACTTTTTGCATTGTTTAAATAATTTTAAAACTTTAAATTTATATCTCTATTTTTATTTTATTTATTTGTAAAATTTATATTTTTAGAATCCTAATGATAAGATCTTTCAAACAAAATTAATGAGAAATATGAAATTTTGAATTTTTTTTTTTATAAAATTTCACTTCGTTCGTTGTTACATTACAGTAAAATTTCTTTGACTTTCGTACATAGTGAAATTTCACTAAGAGAAATTTTGATGTGCAAATTAATAAAAACACTAGAAAATCTAAAATTGATTATTAATTGCAAAATTTTGGTCCTTATTTCTAAATTTATTACTAATTTTAATTAGGTTAAGTGCATCAAGGGTGAGAACTCTAAGGTGTTGATGAAAATGAAGAGATTAAAGAGACGCAGAAGAACTATTTCGAGAAGTTATTAAATGAAGAATGTGGAGGTAGATCAAAAGGGGAGGAAGTAGGCAGTAAAAAGGAAAACCAAGACTATAGGTTCTATCGTAGAATTAGGGACTTTGAAGTAGAGTTTGCACTTAAGAAGATGAAATTAAATAAGACTTTGAGACTCGACGATCTACCTATTGAAGCGTGGAAATGTTTGGGTAAGAAGGGGGTGGTTTAGTTGACTATGTTATTTAACCAGATTTTGTTGACTAGGAAAATGCTAGAGGAGTTGAGGAAGAGTAATTTAGTGCCAATATATAATAATAAAGGAGATGTTCATAAGTGTAACAACTATAAATGAATCAAGTTAATGTGTCACACAACGAAAGTGTAGGAGAGAGTGATGGAATGTCAATTGCGAGATACAACAGAGGTGTCAGAGAATCAATTTGGATTTATGCGTAGTAGGTCAACAATAGAAATGATCCATCTTTTGAGAAAAGTAATAGAAAAGTATAGAGAAAAGAAAAGAGACATTTATATGGTTTTTATCAATATTGAGAAAGCATATGATAGAGTGCCTCGAGATATAATCTGATGGGTGTTAGAGAAGAAATGGGTGACAAAAGGTTACATTGACGTGATTAGGGATATATATGAAGGTGTGGTGACCACTATCAGATCGCTTGCTGAAGAGACAAGTGAATTTTCAAATTCTATAGGGTTACACCAAGAATCAACCTCAAGTTCTTATCTTTTTGCTTTAGTTATGGATGAGTTGACGCGCAATATTTAGGATAATGTGTCATAGTGTATGCTTTTTGTAGATGATATCATGTTAGTGGATAAGACTAGAGAATGAGTTAATACTAAGTAGGAGATTTGGAGAAAAACACTTGAATCTAAAGGATTTAGGATAAGCAGAACTAAGACAAAGTATATAGAGTGTAATTTTAGTAACAGTCACAATGGAATTAGAGGAGAAGTGAAGATTGAGAACCAAGATCTACCTAAGAGTGAAGATTTTTGTTATTTAGGATCGATTATCACAATGACTGGGGAGATTGGAACGGATGTGGTCCACAGAATTAAGGCGGGATGACTTAAGTGGAGAAGTGCGTATGGAGTACTATGTGGTAAACAAATATCCATTAGACTAAAAGTGAAGTTCTATACAATGGCTATTAGACCACCAATGTTGTATATATAGCGTTTCTGGCTTAGACCTGGCCTATTATATGTTTTTTGTTGTCTTTTATAGTTATCCATGTCTTGTTCACGCTTATTCCTCTTTGAGTTTGGCTTTTGGGTTGTATTAGTTGTATTTGGAACAAGTTGGTAGCTTGTTTTTCAAACTTTTGTTGTCCATATTTTTGTTCCTTTGCTCGAGCGAAGCTTGTTGTGCTCGAGTGGTCTTTGTGTACCTCCAGTGCTTTTGCAGGTCTATAAAATTACTGGGAATTTGTATTCTTCGCTCGAGTGACGACCTTTGTCTGCAAAACTACTGGGAGTGTGTTTTCTGCGCTTGAGCGAAGATTCTTGCGCTCGAGCGGAACAACTTATTGTGTTTGGTCGCTCGAGCGACACATCTTGCGCTTGAGCGAACTGTGTATATATCAATTCGTAAATAGGCCATTTTACATTTTCACCTCTCTCTCTCTAAACATTTCAAAACCCTATTTTCTCTCACACTCTCTCTAAAACTCGTCTATTTCCCTCAGATACACCTAGATCTATCGATCTTTTCACCTGTGTGTCTTTGTTAAAAGATAAATCTTGGCGAGGGCTTCATTCTAACCAGAGCAAAGTTGGTTTTTTGGCGTCTTTGGGTTTCCCTCTCTCTCTCTCTCTCTCTCTCTCTCTCTCTCTCTCTTGTTCTAGCTTGAGGTAGGGACACTTTCCACACTTTTATGAGTTTTAACTTAGTTATTTGTTGTTTCTAAATTATATTGCAAATTTGGAAGATTTGAAACAAATCTAGGGTTTTGGATAGAAAAATCAAAAGAGGGGTTTTTCAAATAGTCTCTTGGAAATAATTTTGATGTTGGAAATAATGTTGAGTTAGGTGAAAATGATTGATTTTGGATACTTGGGTTTGTTTTTGAAAAGAGTAAGAATTTTGTCCTAAATGCCTCAAATGTTGAGTTTGTATAAATAATGAAATTGATGTTGAAATTATGAGATTGGATTAGTATTGATGAGAATGGTAGAGTTGGATATGCATTATCACTCGCCTTTTGAGATTTGAAAAGTTTATCTTTATGGAATATAAATTATTTGTTTAAAAATATTTGTTTTGGGCTATCGATAGAGGATAGCTATGATTGTTGTAGAAATTGCATGTGAATTAGGAGAATTTAAACTATTTTCCCATTCATTTGCATTGAGCATTATTTCACACTTATACATTGAAAATGTTTGTCGTTTTTGTTACGCCCCCAAAATATAACCATAGATTCAACCGAAATATAAATAAATAACTACATGAATCAGAGAGTAACGTTCTTCCATTTCATAGAGTTAATAATACAAAATAGTTTAACACAAATGAATGCCCTATAGGCTTACACCTTTCCAAGCCTTGGCTTGGTTACCACAAAAATGAGACTAGCTCAAACAAGTTAAGCCCTAGGCTATACAAAAGTGAAACAAAACAAAGAAGCTCTTGCTTCCCAAAAGTCCCTCCAATGCTATTGCCTTGGCGGAGGTATGTCATCAACACCTGAAAATGTTTTTCCCAAATAGAGTGAGTCATAACCCAGTAGAAATCATCTAACATAATATATAAGGTTTAGCAGAGATATAGGTACAATGTGCACATACAATGCCTGTGATGAAACATTTGCAAATTTATATACTCATAAGACATCAAATTCAATTCTTAATCCATTTTCTTTCAATTCATTTCCAGTTCATTTAATCATCTCAATTCATGAGTCAAGTCCACTATCTTTCAACAACGAAACTGAGATTACAACTCAATGGTTCACTTTCCAAACATATAAAACACAAATAACACTTCAATCTGTCATTTTACGAATATTTCGTCCACGGGATCAACACCCATGTATAATTTCGAGACTTTCACCCAGGACACTCCGGCCAACTTAATTTAAATGGAGTCCATTCCATTTCTCATCCCAAACAATGGAGTCCGTTCCCATTTTCCTCCCAAATAAATAGACATATACAATGTATTTATAAACATAATCATACATGGAGTATATCCCATTTATTCTCTCAAATAATCATACATATACAATGTATTTAAACATAGTCATATTCAATGACAACCAACAAGAGATTAGTTTCAATTTACCTAATCCTCATGCAATTTCTATAACAATCATAGTTATCCTCCACCGATAGCCCAATACAGTTATTTCTAAACAGATATTTAATCTCGGAACAAATAATTTATTCAAAACTTCCAAAGGTGTGAGATAATACATAACCAATTCCACCATTCACATTCATAATCATCCAATTTCACATTTTCAATTCCAATTTCAATTATTTATACAAATTAACAATTGAATCCAATTAGAGAAAAATCCACATTTTCTCCAAATATCAACCTATGTACCAAAATCAACCATTTTGACACAACATGGCATCATATTCAAACCCCATACCCATTTATTCCATATTCATCAAAACCCCT